GTATTCACGCATTATATGTGCTAGTACACTCCTGTACTAGCCCAAGCTTTACCTAAAGAAAAAAACGTGCATTAATTAGTGAATTTTTGAAATCAGCATAGCGTTATGAAGGGCAATGCCTGGAGTAACCTTTAAGTATTTGCTTAAACTGTTGGTTATAATTTTTTTATGGCACTTTTAACCCATTAGTTCCAAAGAGTAGAAGAAAAACAAATTTGGTTTTTTTTTTATTACGTTTTATTGCCAAAATTATATTTAAATCCTCATTTATCAAGGTAAAAAAAAATAAAAGTTCTTAGTTTTTTAATAACAAAATGTAGATGTAGATGTTTCTTGCTTTGTTCTCTTCCTCTGCAATGAAGTGACCAACATTTTCAAATATAACTTCTCCGAACAAACTGGTCATCCACAATTTGATCTTGTAGGAATATTGATTGGATCATTCAAAGCCGATATACCGTCTCCTTGAACGTTATCTTCGATGAGCGCTAGTTCCATAGAGAGCGGTAACTACTATGTGAGACTTAAAATCTAATTGTGACATGTTAGTTTTATTTGCCACGTTATATATTTTCCAATCCACAAGGAATATACGTTCCTGTAGTTGGCTGTATACTATATATTAAAAAAATTTATTAAAATCCTTTGTAAAAGGTATATATTTAAAAACCCAAACGGGCTATGGTAGACAAAACGTTTTCGGAATCCATATTGCATCATCAGTGTCCTAGAAAATATATAACCACTTAATTAAAAATAACATGAAGTTTAAATTTTGACCAAGGTTAATGCAAAGTGTGGTTAATACTTACTAGGAGTACATGAATGTAGCCACTAAATATATGGGTAAAATCCCGTTAACAAATAATTAGTTACGTTTGGTTTACAGTATTTCTTATAAAATATTAAGATGTTAAAGTTACATTTTAATTAGGTAACATGGCGACATATGACTCCACGTGAAGTTGCTAGTCCTGAGACGGTGTGTCTAAAGACATAAAGTCCTCGTAGAGGACTTTATGTCTTTAGACATAATAGTTTTGAACAAATAGTTTTGTTTTCAAAAAGTTTTCAAGGATTTTCGGCCCTCGGTAATAATGTATTCTTTCATTCTGCGTTTAAATTTTTCAAAAATATTTATTATTTTTCTCATGATTCGAAAAAAATGAATGCATTTAAAAAGCATTGGCCCGAAATTTTGCGCCTACGCTCTTAAGAGAAAGATTAGGCAATCAGTTTCGATATTTACAGTTCTACAGCATCATGGGGCTCTCAAGAAACTAAAGGCTGAAATAGATGATATATGGAAGTCAATATGTATACAACCAAAAAAAGATATTAAAAGTAGTACTAAGAATATATAGGACTATATAGTCAACAATCAGTAACATAAAAAATATAAAATATAAAAGGTGGTCAGTAGGGAGGCCCACATTATAATGTTAATTTTTCAAAGTTATATTAGACACCTGGGCACCATCTAACTTTTTTACTTATAATATTAATAGTATTTATGCAAAATTTCAAGATGATATTCCATTTGGAAAGGAGTGCTCAAAGACATTTTATGTTGGGCATAATTTTAGAAACTCGGAATATTTGAGGGAATTAAAAAATCAAGAAAAAACAGCTCAAAGTAAGTAAACTAAATGTATTTTATTTACAGTATAAAGGTACAATAAAACAATGCCATGATATTCATGAAAAGAATTTGCTGTGGGCGATCAATCCTTTGTTGATATTTTCAAACTATCGACGATCGCTTGTTTTGTAGTCTTTGTAGGCACCATCTTTCTGTTAGCTTCTATGACCTGGAGAAGCACCTGCTTTTCATCTTCATCATTTGTTAACAGCTTGTTAAACTCTTCAAACAGCTTTACACCTCTTTCAGCCAAGTCATTAACAACTTTCAGATTTCTGATGATGTTTTGACCTTTGATATACTCTTGGTCATCGGTCCATTCATCTGGGTTTTTGGTGAAAAAATTGGTATTTATTTCCAATTTCTCAAGTAACTGCAGTGATCTTTTTGAAGCAAAATCAGCCAAACGCGCTTTCTCAGTTAGGAGTGCTGAATTGCCTCTCACTTTCCGTTCAACAGGCTCACATTTCATTTTTTCAACGATTTCCACCTTATCATCAACAGATACTTTTTTTGAGAACAGACTCAAACCAACCAACTCATCCGAAAGATACCAAAAATGAGATTTGAAAGCCTTTTTGACAATTTCAGTTACTTCAGGATCAATATCATGGTACTTTGTCATATCATTCCACAGTGTGAGATCTGACCATGGAGCATTTGAAGCTAAAGGAGCTTCTACCCAGTACTTGACGTAGACAAGAACTCCAAGTTTCACAAAGCGTTCAGGCTGAGCTTTCTCCCTTTGCGTTGTCACGAAACCACTGTCATCACGAAACAAATAGATTTTGATGCCATATAACAACTTAGCCATCCAACGGGCGGGCGTGGTGTACCGCACCAGGAGCTCTCCAATGAATTTTGGCTGGAGTGTGGCCTAAAGCAATTAAAGCCAACTCAATCAACTTCTTATAGTCATCCCGAGGCTGACTTTTGCCTTTTAAGGCAACTTGGAGAACATCAACTGCAGATTGTTTGAAATCTTCACTGCCAGAAATATTTCCCAAAGACTGATAACTATCTTGTCTGATATATTGCCATGCTGCTTTGAATCTTTTGAATATAGGTATATCAGGTGAACTGGAGAGACCAAAACAGAAAGTAAATACTTTACTGAGTACAATCTCTAAAACATGGTGTCTGCATGCTAGCCATAACAATTCTCCTTCAACTAGGTGTTCAATCAGAACACAAGCTCCATTTTTCAACCCTGTGTTTACAGATGTTGCGTCAAAACACATACCCACTACCTTTTTACCCAAACCCCATTCAGTAAGCTTTTTGTAAACAGCATTAGCTGAATTTTCACCAGTACCACCAACTAATTTTGGTACACCAAGCAATTTATCTGTATTGTCAGCAGGACAAGATACTATGACAGGCAAACGGTCTACCTTGTCACTTCCAAATTATCAGGAAGAATTTTTCCATCCCAGTGTACAATTCTTCTTCTGATGAGCTGTGTTTTATTGGAGTACACTTATCTGATGACTCATCCTCTGAACTTTGGCAGGAAGCAGTCGGAGTCACCAGAGGCGAAGCGGTTCCCTCTTGAGCTTTTTGAAGTCTTTTTTGTTCTTTTAACTTTCTTTCAAGGATTCTCTCCTGTTTTTTTTTATATTCCTTGTCTTCTGATGTTATGATCATTTTTCTGTCAGTTCTTTGATCTATTAGAAACTGTCTGTCCTCATCTACTTTACACATAACCAGGGCTTCACTGTGAGCAATATCAAAAAGCTGATCGAGCTGCTCTACAAACAGATTTTGTCTTTTGTTCTGGGCATCGGAGTTTCTTCCTTTATTTTTCTTTAGCATAAGCCATTCATTGTGTATTTTCTCAACTTTTTCAATACAATGTTTTTTTAATCTGGTAGGAATCACAGCCTTTTGCCATACTGACATCACTTCTTCCAAGGTTAAGTGGCTAGCATTCCTTATGGATTTTTTCTCGTTTAGGAAAAAATGAAATCTGAGAAGAACTTGCCTTACAGAAGGTAGTTGGTTTAACTGAGATATGGGTTCTAATTCTCTTATTCCAATTAAAAAAATATTGTCTGCTTTACGCGTTGAAGTGGAGGGCGAAGCCATGACTACGCACATGCACAAATCACAGTTCCTTCTTCTGTTCACTTTTTGCACTTGACTCGTATTTTCTACTAGTAACAAAATAGTCTTTTAAGACAAATATTATCAGTTTTATATATATATATATATATATATATATATATATTATATATATATATATATATATATATATATATATATATATATATATATATATATATACATCAATTACTTAAGTCTTTAAATGCACAATTTCAGCATCTGAAACAAAAAATAATGTAAGATATTAATTTTTGAAAATTCGACGAAATTGCGAAATTTTCAAAACTTTGAAGACTTTGAGCACTGCTTTCCATTCCACCTATGACATTGAAACTTTAGGGATTTACTTCTATTAGGCAAAGTAAAAAAATTAGAGGGTGCCTAGGGATGTTCTACAATTTTGAAATTTTTGGGCCACCCTAGTGGTCAGCAATATATATATATATATATATATATATATATATATATACAGTATCAAGAGACACAAAAGTGTAGTATGAAAGTCTAAAAATAGTCTGAAGTCTATACAGTCGTAGTTAGTAATCAATAAGTTAAAAATGTGTGTAGTGTATAGGGAGTGCTGTAAATTAATTAATTTATAACGCAAAAATTTAATGTAGTACAGTTCAAATTAAAGCTTTTTTATATATACTTTTATAATATTGTACTCATTTTAATCTTAATCATAATCACTTATTCAAAAAAACCTTGAAAGTTGGTTATAAAAAAAAATATAATCGTCAGTTTGGAGTCGCAAACACTTGGAGGTTACTCCAAAAATTCGTGGTTTCAAAAATTCATTAATTAATGGTCAAAATCATTCATTTTGGATTCTACAGCTTGGACTATACTGATTCTGAAAACACCACAGGTATTTATAACAGAAACATTTTATAACAGAAGATTTTTATTTCTTCCAATAAACCGTCAAACAGAATTTACCAGAACATTTGACATACCACACGAATTAAAACAGGCATAACTAGATAACTTTTTTAAGTAAGCCATCGGATGAAAACAAGATTAAGACCAATAACCTGACAACAACTAAACCAATGAAAACATATGAAGATAAAGGAAAAAGTCACGATCCAAACTAAAATTAACCAAAACAGAAAATCGTTAAAGTAGAAATAATTTAATTGTTGAACAGCTGTATTAATTTTAGAGAGTAAAAACACGAAAGAAAGCCTAGTTTTCACTGAATTTAAAATAATTTCCAAGCAATTCTCGAATGCAGATTGATGTTATAATGATTTCTGATGCGAATTGTGTAATGGCTTGTCGTGGAGGTAAGAACGACTCATACACCGTGACAACAAACGGCATTATATTTTGTATATTTATAGTATGCGCCCTTTTAGTATTATGAATTTGTATTTTATGTGACTATTCCACTAAGCATAATTGATGCGTTGGTGTCGCTTATATCCACAGTATCTTTTTTAAATAATATTGATTTCAAAAGAACGTTACCGCTATATTTCATATCAGCTGGACATCCTGTTATGGTCACAATAATGTTTACTTGGTAAAGCCTGATATATTATTGAAATTTAGGTAAACCTTGCTTTGAAATTATTCATATTTAAAAATTTCGCAATTTCCAACAGAGTTTTGCACGAAATTTGTTTTCGCTGTTGACTCCAAATACAATTGAATGAATAATAATTATTTTTTTCAATGCAAATTATAGTTTGAATAGTTTATTTTAAGTCAGGTCCGTTCCACACGAGTTGTATTTGTTAATGGTCTAACCGAAAGTGTGAAATTATGATTTTATAACACTAAAATTGTAATAATGATGATTGTATGTTGCGTTCATTGATCAAGTGTACAGGGGCTTTACAAAGGTTATTGGTAAAAAATCTAGGCAATATAATAGAAAAATGAAGCTTTCCGAAGGTTTCCGAAGGTTTTTTTTTAATGACATAGAGCTTTTTCTTCATACAGTGTAACGAAACTATTTTGCCTACCACAGGGGGCATTAATACAAGGGGTAGAAAATTGGGGGAAGAAACTATTGGGGGTGGAGATAAGGCAAGCAAAATAATCGCTACTTGTGCGAACGGCACTCAGGGTTTGGTAGGAGAGCTGGGGTCGTGGATAAGTAAAAGATAAGGGGGTTGGATTGAAGCAACTACAAAAAATGAAGTAAAGGGGTCATTAATCTCTTGGGATAAACAAAATAAAAATATACAGGAAACACCTCAAGGAATTTAATATAGGGCGCCACTTGAGATGCCTAATTATACCTATTACAACCACTAGTTGTAACTAGGGAAATAATTATAAAACATCAAAAAAATATCTTTTTCAAATAAAAATCAAAAAAGGGTTAGTTCAAAAAAAATGTTAAGAAAACAAAATTTAACATTTATTTTTGTGTCACCACAAACAGTTACAACATGGAGGAATACAAGAATACATTATACAACATAATCCAAATTAATAAAAACTTACATGTTCTTTATTTACATAAGAGATTTTGACAACATAACAAATTTTGACGTGAAAATTTGCGGATCCATACTTGCGATCCACACAGCGAACCAAGTAAGAATCTATTAGGTCACACCTGACTCTACCGGCGACCCAAGTACGAATTAAGATCCATACCTAACACTACTACGACCCAAGTATGAATGACCAATTTAAAAATTCGTTCATATAACTTGAAAATAAAACAAAAGCTGACATAACAAAACACAACGAAATTAAAACGTATAATCCGACAAGCGAGAGCTGGCGGGTGAGCTGCGCGAAAATAGAAAGGAATTATTCTAGGACAGATAGGAGAGGTACTTAATCGCGATTATAGGTATATAGTATAGGTACTTAAACGGTTATACACGATGTGAACTCCTAGCCGACTGCAATAGAAATGAGCAATTCCTTCCACTTTTCAATTTGTTCTACGCGCAACCCGCCAGCTCTCGCTTGTCGCGTTATAAAAGATTTCACTTCTACAACGTATAAAAATTATAATGCGACTTCGAATAAAACATTAAAAGAAATTGCCGAAAAAGTTAAAATAATAAACAACTCTAAAATGGTTTATTTTAACATCTAGCAATGCAAATACTTTTGCGTATTTTAACTTGAAAGATATGAACTAACAAACACGGAAAAAATTCTTCGTTTTATTTTTTAAACATATATAAGATTTCAATATACTTCAAAGAATCAATGAAATTGAAAATGCTACAACAGTCAGACGCAAAATGAATAAGACACAACTATCATATAATGAGTCCATAACCCCTAATTTGGTTGTAATTTAATCTACATTAGAAGCATAAAGACACTTTTCTTAGCTAGGGACACACCATATAACAAGGTTACAGGAAGACAGACAATTGCACAAATGGTTTAACATAAACGTAACGAGACACATTTCCACTAGCACAAAAGACAGAAAACAATAATACAGGTCTGCAAAAATAAATTTTGCAAGCAAATTTTTTTTGCAGACAAGCTGTTTTTATAAATTTAACTGATTTAAATATGGTTTGTGATGCACTGAATCCAAAAATGAACTCTGTTTCAGCAGCATATCCAAACCACCGTACATTTGTCAACCGTGATCTTTGATTTTCATAGTTTTTGAAGAAGTTTTCGTAGGTATCTTTCAAGAACACAGAAGAATGTTAACATGACTAGATGCATAAAAAACACCTTTATGGAGTAAAACTCTTTTAAGTTGCGCTTCGATGAGTTGACAAAGATACGCCACTACGTGGATTCATACTCGAGCCAACGAGAAAGAGACTCAGATAGTAATAACTTTATTCTTGAGTAGGGATTCAAGTAATTCATCAGCATGTTTGATTTTGAGTTGAAGTTTTCTTTTTATCCTTAAATCAGTTTCGAAGGTCCTTCACACATCTTTTGTAAATGTTATGAAGAACCTAAACTTTGTCTTGATCTCAAGTTTTCGTCCAAAATATGCAAAGAGCATTTTTTGCTAATTCTGTTATATTGAGTTATTGCTTTAACACTGATATTCTCAGTCCATTTTGTTTCAATCATTCCAATAGTGTCGATATTTATTACTTTTATGGTATTACTGGTTTTCTGCTGCATATATCTTGCGGACATTCCAAGTTGCTATTCTATTTTTTAATTTTATGTAAGGTTGACAATCAAGTTGGAATGTTGTGATGCTCGATCTGTTACGCCCCTTTTTTCTTTTCTGTAGAATCAACAGTTCTCACTGTCACGCATTTTAGTCATCCAAGAACGCATTTTAATGTTTCTTTGACTTGATGATTTCAGTTTCAAAATAAACATTTGTGCGATGATTTTTATAGACTTGTTAAAAATATTAACGAACGTTTGCAACAGTTTTAAGAAACGGTATAGTTCTGCAGTAATTGATGAAAATAAAATGGTCCACTATTATGCGAATGTAGAAATGGGTTCTAAAAACACGAAGTACGAAAGAACCTCAGAAAATTAACCCATTGTGAATGATTGACTGCACTAAACCAAAGTATAACAGTTTCAGAACATCAAATGATACAGTTTCTCTTAGATTTCTTATGATGTAACAGAGTGTACTTAATTTTGAACTCACTTTATTTACATGTGGTTCTCAAGTTAGTTTTGGATTCAAGACTACTCCCAAGAATGGATGTTCTGAATAGATCCATTAGATATATAGAATAAATGCATCGTTTGATTGCAATGAAGTGCGTTTTCATTGCATTCAGTGTAATGCCATTTGCTGTATACTTGTATGAGGGCGTTTATATAAATAGGATTTCACCCAGTCATATGGTCCCATGCCTTCCAACTATCAGCAGGAATTTATGATGTCAGGAGTTTGTGATCTGCTAAGTCAAAAGCGTAACTGAGATTATAGAGAGAGATCATAAATAATCACAAAGAAGATCATAGAGAAATCGTGCGCAATATGTTCTTATTCATAGCTATACAATATTATGTCCTTATTTGTAGCTATTAGGAAATGTGACTAATACAAGTTTTTGTATAATATAAACCGAACATATTGTGCAAATTTCATACATGTTTCAATAAAAACCTAAACAAAACCAATATACTTTATAGAAAACTTACTCGGCAAACAAGAGTCTTTAAAAAACATAAATATGAACGAAAACGAATGACACATATCGAGACTTTGATCCTTGATAGTAGCTATTTATATTAAAGATATTCTTTGGATTGGTAATAGATGTGTCAACTGTTGATAATTTTTGGCATAATGATATTAATTCAAGGAACTAAATAATTTCAGTTCTAATCTGTATGATTCATTTTATTTTAAACTATTTTATCAGTAAAATATTAATAACCGTCCGGTAAATTATCATTCAACACTGTTAGTTGTTAAAATTATAAATTTTTTTCCTTTAAATTTTACATTAACTTTGGGAATTTGGTAATGCGTTTTTATGGTGTCTTCTTCAACCTAATTTTTTTGGTGTTTTTCATATGCAATAAAGATGGTTTTTATTATTATTATTATAATACATGCAAAACATTTTTAACCAGTCGTATCTTAATAAAAAATTTAATTGCCAATATTTTACTTCGTTACGATTTTGCCCCAAAATGAATCGTTTTAAAGATATAAGCAAGGAAAGTAGAAAAAAAATCGATTTTTTTTATACGTATAGCCAAATTAAAGTAAATAGGAATTTTGTAACTATAAAGGGGTTCTCTGGAGATTGGATTTTTCTAAACCTCTCCAAGAATTTTTACTACGTACTGTTACAGCACTTCTTCGTTTTATTTCGTTTAAAAAGCTCTACAAGAGTAACTCTTATATACTTACTTTCTGCAGTGACCACGTATTCAGCTTCTAAAGCTCGATGGTTTTCCGCTAGACAAATCAACGTTTGAAACCATCTTCGTTTATTTTTAAGGCTTTGGCTCAGACTTTTTTTTGTACCTAGTGTAGTGTGTGTAGAGTAATTGTCTTGATACTTAGCAAAGTCGACGTCATTGTCTTTGCTAAGAGATGCTAATTGTATTCGAACGTCTGCGGTCCCTATGGTGAGTACCGATCGCACAAGGATAGAAATTATTTTTATTCTTTAATTTTTAATAAATGAAAATTTCTCCACCCAGATTAGATTGGAACTCACGACCTTTAGGTTTAAAGGTAGGCGCTCTTACCACTGAGCCACAGAGGGGGTTGCTCAGACATTTTAACATGTTGTTCGTTGGACAAAGGGGGACCTTCCATTATTATGGTGCTAGGCATAAAATGGGACCCTACGACTGACTTTTTTTCTTATTCTTCTCGTCCCTTTGACAAACC